AATTAGCCATGTCCAGAAGGCAACAAGAAGAATTAGTGGAAGGCGTCGAAGGAACGTCCGGTCGATCCAAAAGACAAGCGTTCAAGGATCAAGCATATCCTAACACCACGTGGCAGCAAGGAGTCTTCTACCGCTTCGACGATGGTGTAGGTCAGTTTCAGAGCTTTATTTTTCTTAGACCTCATTTGTATTGAGTCAGTTGATAGTGTTCACAAAACAAAAGTACTCTAGACTTCATTACAAAGCGAATATTCGAAAAGGGGCGAAACAATGGGAAGAAGCAACATGCCTCAATTTCACCGAAGATAAGGTCACTCGTCGCTGAAGAAGCGGTCAATGGTGAGATGACCAATAGATGACATTTCAGCTGAAAACAGCATTGTGCTAATCAAGGAAGATGGCTGCTGGTCGTATGTAGGACGGGTCGGTGGTGAGCAACCTCTCTCACTTGGCTGTGATCAGGTAAAATGTGGATACGTTTGTGAAGTTTACACTCGAGAGCATTATGGAACTGACATGAATTCTCACGTAACAATCGCTCTCCGCTTACCGTAGCACAAAATTAAGGTTGGAATCGCTACACATGAACTCGGTCACGCGCTTGGGCTCTTCCACACCATGTCACGTTACGATCGTGATGAATTTATTACAGTCGTTCTTGATAATGTTGTGGTAAGTCACATATACACACTCTACAATAAGAACACAAGAAAATTCTACCGTCTTCCAGGAAGGTTTCGTAGATCAATACGTGAAAGAGACAAATGAAACCACTACCAACTATGGATTTACCTATGATTATGGTAGCATTATGCATTACGGAGCAGCCAGGTGAATAGAATTACAGCATTCTGTGAACTAGGGTGACACAATACCCGATGATTCAGCGCCTCTCACAACAAGAAACCCACAATGGTAGCCAATGATACAAGGTACCAGGAGTCGATGGGCTCGCAGATCATTTCATTCATTGATAAGTCTATGATAAACGATCACTACAATTGCAAAGGTAGGAGAGCCATGTGAAGTCTACTAGGGACTTTTCTGTTCAGCAAAGTGCCCAAATGCGACCTCAGCGAAGTGTGTAATGGAGGATTCCCTCATCCACGAAACTGCTCTGAATGTATTTGTCCAAGCGGCTATGGTGGCACTCTTTGCGACAAGCGAGTAAGCTAAGGGAGCGTTGAAGGAAACCCTTCAGTAATGCCGCATTTTGTAGCCGCCTGGATGCGGAGATACATTGAAAGCGACAGAGCGCAAGCAGATCATCGTCAAAAGACTTGGTTTTGGTGGTGTAAGGGACGAGTTCGAGTTCTGCAACTACTGGATTGAGGTATGCGATGAAAGGCAGTTGCAACATGTTTCATGAGTTGGATCTGGACTTTTCCAGGCTGATGAAGGGAAAGAAGATTGAAATTAAAAATTATGGTGAAATCTATTTCGCACGGCTACGCTCATGACGGCTGCATTCTAGGAGGCGTGGAAATCAAGACCACTGAGGATCAAACTCGAACTGGATACCGGTAAATGAGCGGTCGAAACTATAGTTTGCCTATTACTCATTGACTCTCTTTTGCAGATTTCTGCTCACTCAACCTAGTCTTGCAGATTCTGCTCACCAACCTATCGCGACGCAGTGCTTGTTTCGGCCTCAAATCGCGTGCCCATAATCATGTTCAACAGAGCCGGCCAGCAACAATTTATATTGGAATACAAAATCAAGTCATAAGACTACATTGCCTAGTGTTCTATGCAGAGAAATTAAAAGCTTCATTCAAGTGTTTCCATTTTCAAGGAGTGAGCGGATACAATTGTGATTTTACGATGTGTTGTCTCTGAATCCATTTGCATTGTGGAAAAGAGTCTCTCCAGTTCAGCATCAGTGCTTATGCTAAGTCTTCCCTGAGGAGACATCTACAGTACATTTCGCAACCTTCAGCGCATTGTTTATAAATATAGATGCGAGTGATCAAATCATCATGAGGATTGCCCTTAACTTCTGTTGTTACCGCGGGAAGAGAAGGAAAGAGTAGAAGCGAAGGGAAAGGTTGTCTCTGAGGCCACTATACGCAAGTTTTGAATCAGGATACTTATGTGAAATTGGATTCGTTTTCATAGTTCGCATGACCCTGGGAAGAACACCTGACGGAGCGCTTCAAAAAAAGTAGACGGAAAGGGAATTGGAACATCCAGACAGACATCATCCCTCCTTAGACTGCAAACTCATTGCTCGAACTATAAAACTTCAGCTATCGATGAATCAATTTTTAAACTGCTGCACGCATTTCATTCCACTCACTCCATACCATTTAGGATTGTACTACTATAGGACTACTATGAAATGTGCATTAGGATATACAATGAACTACGAGGAACAGCTAGTGTAATAGTCAAAGTTTCAGTGTTTCATGCTCCCGGACGAACCTGGTCCAACTAGCTAGCTCCGGACGACAGGTAAGATTGATTGGTTTGGGTTAAAGCCGATGCAGGGTTCGATCCCAAACCGTGCACGCGGATGCAGTACTTACCACTGCACTACATCCGCTCTACCAAAATTCAAATATTGTGGCATTATTAGATCATTTTCTCAGCTGCTACTGCCAATATTGCTGGTCTGGAGAAGAATAGATAAGTAGAAAAGGTTGGAAAATTCTTCTCAAGTCTTAGCCCAAATTTTTTCGCCATTGTTGGTGATTAAGTAATAAAGCAGAATCAGGTCCGTAAGCAAGCAATCTAAGTTTGAAAGGCACAACGAAAGCATCTGATTGTGTAGACAAAAATTGCCTATCATTCTGCGTTACACCTTTGTATACTAGCGTAATGCATGGCGCATCCTCGGACGAGATTGATCGATAAACGATCAAACCATACTTCCCATGCAATTTAACGAGACTGTGCGTCCCTACAAGCACGTGGTTGCTAACGATTGAAACTACAATGATTGAGAAGGTTATTAAGTTTTGAGTAGTACCGGATTTCTCCCTTGAAAATCCTATCTAATTATCTTTTAAACAATGGGGTCTCCAGAGAAATCTGGCGCTTTTTGGTAAGAGGTAGCTTCGGGATTTTTGAAAGTGTCTCTGATTCTGGAAACAGTTGCGTATGAAGGAAGTTATGACCGTCTTGAGCATGTAAATTACATATCTTCTTAATGAGCGCCGCACTTTATGGCAAAAGAAAACTTGTTGGATGGTTCTGCGGAGCAACCTTTCTTTCACCTTTCAGGCAAAGAGCGCCTGATGTGCATTTACAAGGCCCAACTTCCCCATCTCTTAATCGCATGAGCGGACTTCAAACCGTCCTAAGAACCGCCGTTCTTCGGTCATATACTTCATGAGCTGCTTCTACAAGAAAGCATAGATTAAGTGTAAAAAAATGTAGTGTCAAAAATTCGTATTTGACCCATCACTCCATTGCAACGGACTAAAAATCGATAAGAAACAGGAAAAAAATAGGGAACCAATCACACTGCCTACAGCAAGCATTATTCAGTAAGCAAAGTGAAGCATGCTAGTGGAAATTCACTTCCACACATTCGCTACGCTACGCTCTCTTTGAGGGCACTTTTTACGGACGTAGGCGGCTTTCTTCCACGACTTCCACCGTCCTCTCACAAAGAAAGGATCAGCTCTTAGTTAAGGGCTGCTGCTCAGTAGGTGGCACCATAACAGTGTCCGAGAAATGTTCATGAAAGCTGTCATGCGTTATGTTGATGGAGAAAAAAAAAGATATGAAAGCGGCTGAGAAAGCCGGTGGTCGAAAAATCAAAGACCGGAAAAACATTGGAAATGTAGCCCTGTGAAGAAGTAGAGGAGGGGCTGAACTCTCGATCCTCCTGAGAGTGCACGAGCTAAGAAGAGACGGCGTGAACACAGAGCTGAAGAAAAGCGCATCCATTACACGATCGAGAGCCATACGATACAGGCAGATCTGCACTGGATATCTGAAGTGGGTGAAACACTAGAATGTGCAAACCGAGACCAGTTGTGCACTGTGAAAGACATTCGCCAACACAACATGAAGCGATTTTTGAGGTCTATTGGCATCCCTATTCTACTGTGCTGATGTTCAAGTTATGTCATAAATATACGTCTTTGACGCATGGACGGACATTGAAGACCCGGGTCCAGGTCAGTACATTAGAGGAATAAAAAGTGTTCCCGCGGTCGGTTCACTGACATTCCGTTCTGTTCCACTTCTGCGAAAAGAATCCACGTATTCCTCCTCTAATCTTGACTGTGATAATGCGGCGTGCTTCTTTGAAGGAAAGTGCCACGATAAATCCCCAAGACATTTAAAAGAGAATTAATGCGCCCAGCAGGACAGAATTCGCTACCCCTGAGCAGACGCTGCGTGGCGCCTCTTCCAAGACAGGAACCCTGACACCGCCCTATCACGCTGCAGCATACCGACCCGGACGGTCACCCGCCCACAAATATCCGAATAATGCTGACGTCCGCTTCATTTGTGAAGTACAACATGAAGTGAAGGGATTGATATGAAGCGGCTGCATGGATATAGGAGTACATACATGCAGCGGTATCTACCGTAGCGATTACTCTCACGATGCCAGCATTCTGAGTCGTGTAGAAAAAGTTTAGAAAAGTGAGGAAATTTTTTATTGCAGATTTCTGAAGTTAAAGTTCGCTTTTTGCCATCTTTCCACTACATACACTTTCACTACGTTTGAATGATAAGTTGAAAGTAAAGCTCCTTGCGGCTCACTGCCAACATTGTATATGTATGATGTAACCACATTTCGCCATGCTTATCAGACCGCATGACCCTAGCCTATGACCTAATGCATTAGACGTCGGGAAGGGCTTCATAACATGGTTTGGGAAATTGTTTTACAAATTTTGATAGCATGAGAGCAGCATTAGGAAGGACATCTGTGGATGTAAGTTTCATTGGAAAAAAACCGCTA